GGACTCGAACCGCAGTTGGCTACGTGGGAGTCCAGCGACATAGCCATTACGCTAACTGCTCGTCCCTACCCTCAGGGTATCGTGCTGACTGCAGACCATCGGCCACCTGAACACCATAGATATCATGGGCACCACAGCTGCTTCTGTGTCTGCAGCCAGGGCCACACCTCTTGGGTTGCCAGGCTTGCGCCCCAGCTGCTGCCTGGACACTCCTCCTCCATGTCTATGGACCTCTCAAACTAACAGCAGCCCAAGGGGCTCTTAGCCTCGCCCCCAACTCTGATTCGTACAGCCTGCGTGCTCCAGCATAGGACTCCAGCCAAACCTCAGGCACCTCGGCCCCCCAGGCCCTCTGCGCCACACAGCCCTGTGTCCTGTGGGCCCGAATTCCACAAGTCCTTTCAGTTCGGGGCCCCTCCCACCTCCGCCACGGCTGCAGCACTATGCCTGGGGTCCTGGAGGCCTCTGGGGCCCCACAGCATGGAGCCCGGCCCTCCGCTGACACCTACTGCACAGTGAGGGCTCAGTAGCCCACTATCCCCACAGGACTGCTGTCCCTGTGGGCCCTTCTCCAGGGGGACTGTTCCAGCTCCTCTAGCTACCGAGCAGCGCAGCTCCCCACCCAGGGCCAACCGTTCTGTTGCTGGGTGGCCTGGAACTGGCCCGGCTCCCCACTGTGAGCAAGAACCCACCCAGCTGTGCCCCTGGCCCACTTTACTGGAGGATGATCTGAAAAGTGATCTGCAGGACACGGCCCCTGGGGTTCTGGCTGGAAGCTCTCATCCCACCAAGTGAGGCCGCGCGGTTCCCCCATCGCATGCCACCTCCTGGCATCCTTCTGCGCCCCCTGCACCAACCCAGGGGTGTCGCCCCTGCTGTCTCCCTCTCCTACCGTGTGCTCCTGTGCCCTCAGTAGTTGCTGACATGGCAAAGCGCTGCACCTGCTGTCTCCCCACCCCTGCCCCTGACATCCGAGGGCCCCTCCTGGTGCTGTCACCTGGCCTGTCCATCTGTCTGCAGGCAAGGCTCCTGACCCTAGTCTAGCCCGTGTCTCGAACTTAACAACATCAGTCCCCACCTGCCAACCTGCCATCCAGAACCAGCCACACCCTGCCCTGCCACTGTGCCCCTCCCTCACAGAACTGCCGGAGCTGTGTGGCCGTCTGTGGGCCCTGGAGTCCTGTCCTCCACTCCCCAGTCCCCAGCACAGCCCTGCCCAGGGCCTCTGGCAAAAAGGTCTTTCCTGGTGAAACTCGGGTCCCCTTGCCCTTGTCCTCAGCGAGCACCCATGCCCGCTTGGCTTCCTGTTCTTCAGAGGTCCCCTCACTGGAACACAAGCCCCGCAAGGGCAGGGTGGTCTGTCTGGTTCCCCAGGGCTCAGTGGGCAGTGCTTGCCTGGCTCCCACCTCGTGAACAGCCTCACCCCAGAAGCAGGGCCTCCCACCCTGCCCTGCCCTTCCCCACCTGGACTGTTCGTCATCCTAGGCCGGCCTCTTCCTCACATGGGGGCAGAGGTGCCCAGACCGCCCACTCCCCCTCCTGCCTCCTCTCCCCCTGAGGGCCTCAGCCTGTGCCGCCCAGGGTGCTGCACGACTCAGAGGCCCCACCCGTGTGGGTGCACCGGGTGAGTGTAGCGCAGGGCCAGGGCGGGCTGCCCAGCCCTGCCACATGAGCTGCTTGGAGGGAGGCTGCCATGGCTGCGAGGCGTGGGAGAGGATGTGCCAGCCCGTGCTCCTGACAGGCCCTTCCCTCGCCATGACCAGAGGGGAGATGGGGGGCTGCTGCAGAGGGGTGCAGAACACCTGCCCCACTGAGAACAGAGAAGAGAATGAAAGCAAGGCCACCAGCCC